ATCCAATTAAGTTTTGCTGTTATAAATATGTTAATCCCTATGGGTGGAGTGGGTGATGGGGGGTCCCTTCTTTGCCTGGCACCTTTTGTAAAAGATAGGTTTGATGTTGAGTTTAAAAAAAGGTTATTGTTGGTTGTGAAGGAGTTAGGTGGGTGCACTTATTGAGACAATGACTCAAAAATGACTTAAGGGCAAAGTTTATCCACTGGCTGACCCACGAAAAACAACTCTTAGCCCACTGACACGAGTACCAGTGTTGGCATTACGACAGTCTCAGACCATCTTTTCGGATTATGTTTGTCTTCACTCTGCATGGGTGGAAGATCAAGCACTGAGTCATCCCTGCTACTGAAATGTAAAACAACCACTGAGGGATGCAAGGTGTCACCAAAGTCATCAAGTTTCAGTTTGTGTTGGCAGCAGCTCTAGCTAAGGAGAGCTCTTTCACTTTTGCTGCAATTGTATATACTGTAATTACCGGCTGTCAGTGAACATCCATTAGCCATGTGTTTCGTGTTTCTCGGCCAAGTGCCTCCTAACCTACAGGTGAACAGGCTGCTTTCGGTGTCATTTACATAAGCAGCCTGTAATGAGTAACTGCACTGGATTGTGTTCCCCAGAATCTTTACTGTGAACACTCTAAAGGAAGAGCGGTCGTTGCATTTATTGTTACTGTATCTGAAGACAGTACCGAAGACAGTTGGAACCACACAGCCATCATAGTTATGAACATAGTCTTTCATTGAATCTTTTCCCTGTGGCATCATGGAAATAACAAGGAAATGATGTCACATCTATGGAAAGCTAAAGCAGATAATGGCCTAAAGACATGGAGCTAGGTGTCTTATTATCTAGAGCCTCCAGTGCCTTGGTTTGTTTCATTATACACGTCAGTCTCTCCTGGTAAATGATATCTATATCAAAATGTTGGTGAAGTGTTGTTTGAGAAATGCACCAGTAAAGGGGTGAAGTTTCCTCACACATGTCCTGGGAATATAAAGGTATAAATGTGATGACTTGTTATCAGTAGAAGAGGATGACATGTCTGCCAGGTTTGTTTGCTGTGGTCTTGATTGTTCTTTAGCTTTACTTAAGAGAAGGTAGAACACTGATGGGCAAATTCACGAAGAACAAATTGTGGTTGATGATTGCTCCATGAATTACCGTCTCTGGGTCCTTTTCACCATATATATTGCGCTAATAATATTACAGCACAAACACATCCGTCAAGTTTTGCAGCTGCGAGTAATTTGCCCTTTTTTGATTCTGATTGAAATGAGAGGCAGAAGCATTCCTCCAAACTCAAGGCAGGGATTTGAAACTTCACTGACAGAAACCATATTTGGGATTAAATATGGCATGAGCACTGGAAAGTCTGGGCATGACACCGCTTTAGTTAGCGACAACTCTTCCTGTTTTTGCATCGTGACATAGAAAGGGGATGATTTTGCACCAAATATCTGCATATTACCCCATTCAAATATAAATGCAAATAGCACAGGAGCAGAGAGAGATGCTATTTGCTTGGCAGCACAGTTAAGGGTGCATTTCACCCTTTGCTGGTGCTTTGAGATCCAAAGGTTTCTTTTTGTCTTATTTGGGCAGGTTTAGCGGCCACAAAAGCCGCACAATCCTTTTGTGTATTCGCCCCCCCGAAAGCACAGTCAGAATGAACACAAGGACAACACCTAGCAACGTCGACACTTCCCACAAGGATGGATGCACTCCATTCTCTTATCAGTGTGAATGTGTTTACCGCCTCTTTTGATAAGTTTTACATTTTGGTTTAGCAAAGGCAGTGTGTCAGTGCAGAGGCTCTCTGGTTGGAGTTTGATGGCAGAATTTAGCATTTAGATTAAATGAATACAGGACAGGTCTCGGGTGAGATTGGTGTGATTTCTCTCCCTCACCCAGGTCACAGCTCATTGATTTGAGTTATTACAGCCAGCCAACACATGTGGAATAGATTATTGTATGGATTCGAAATGCACAGCGTTATATTTGGTGTCCAGGCTCCGACGTCGTCTCTACCAACAAGTAAACACCAAGCTCGGCACCGCGGGGAGTGGGGGGGGGTGATGATCAGAGCCCACACGTGGATGTTGGGTTGGAGTTGGGCTTTTAAGATGCTCTGTGAGCAGCAGCAGACAACATGGCTTTCAGAGGAACAGTCTGGCAGCATGCATGCAGAATGAGAGTGCACAGAGCACTGAGGGCCGCGCATAATTAAAAGGGTGCATTGCATATACTGTACATGTGGCAGCGAGAAGAGTATTTCATGTGACTGTAGTAGCGGACACGAATTGACTGCATAAAAACCATTGCAGGCTTATTTATTGTATTTAGTTTTAGTCTTTGCTTCATTAACTTAAGTCTTAGTGTTATGAGCTGCTGTCACTCAGAAGGTAGATCAGGTTGTCCTTTAATCACCTTCGCTAAGTCCCGCCCCTTGGACGCAGACTGGCCAATCATAGCGTAGCCATTAATTGTTCAAACAGACTAACACTTCAACACTACTGTGTAAAAGGCAAAGACATAAAAAGGTGTACAATTCTCATTGGCCAACTAAATGAACAGGATTTGACATCTATTGGATGGGGATATCCAAATGTGGGAGCCACCACAGTCCATGCAAGCCCACACAGATACCTCTAAAAGTTACTATCAGGGTCCTAAGGGTTTCTGTTTCTGTTATAGTTTTCATTTTCCTGTAATAGTTTGAAAGTCCTCTCCTCTTGTGTCTTACTTCCTGCCTATGCTTGTTCCCCACCTGCGTTTGTCTGCCTCTCCATAACGAGTTTCACCTGTCGCTCGTTATCTCCCTCCTGTCCTTGTGTATTTATGCTGCGTTCCAGACAACTTTGAGGTCAGAATTTTACCAATTGAAGTTTTGATATATTGTTGCCTTTTAGTTGATGGTTTACCATTTACGACGTGGCCTTCAAATGTGTGATGTCAGACAACTGCTTCCACGTGAAGTGGGGGAGAGTTGGAGGTCTGAGTTGCCTTGAATGCAGCATCAGTCTCCGTGCTCTACTTTTCTTTTGTCAGCTTGTCTTCTTTGCCACATGCAGTTTTGTTTGCTTGTGATCGGCCAGTTGTACCCGAGTTCCTTTTGGGAACCTGTAAGACTCTTTGTTTGATTAAAACTATCTTCATTGAATCTGCCAGTCTCTCACTCCGCATCTAGGTCCTCCCTGCTTGTGCTGCTTCCATCCGTGGAGATTGTTACAAAGATGGAAGTACAGAAAGTGCTGCATCCATCAAGTGTAATGGATTAGATGAAACATGACATGTTCAGTTCTTCATTTAGGCCAAAGGGCTCAACTGTGCTAAGAGTGTGAATCCAGTATGCCTCTCTGTGGAGCAGTGAGTTGATAATGCCACCACCTCTAGGAGAGGGTGAAATGTTTTCCATTCCCCAGAGCTTTAATGGCACTGCAGAGCATAATGCCGAGGACTAGCATAATCCATGTTTTGTGTTGAGTCTTTAAAAGCTCTTTTAGTTTGTCCAACATAAACCAGACCACAGAGATGTGTTGTTTTGTTTACCAGTGCATGGATTACTTTGTGTCTGAGGAATAAGAACATTGTGCACAATGGGGGGGGAAACGCCAGTAGGTTGATAAGACAGTGATGAGAAAGTGTTTGGTGGTTTTCAAGTGTCAGAATGAACCAGTCTCTCAGATTGTGATCAAGGGAGTGTTAGGTCCGCATCTTTAGAACACAGGGAGAAATCGCCCCCCTTCCTGCAGCCATGTGCTCTCAATTGCCTCCAAAACACAACAGCAGGTTTAAGTCAAAATCAAATGGATTTATTATCCAAGAAACATAAAAACAGATACAAACAGTTACAAACCGAATCACACTATTAATAACAAAACAAACATAAATTCCATGAAATGTGAGATCCAATCCGAGCCACCCAGGAGGCTGGTCTGCCTCCTGGGTGGCCAGCAGAAGATCTGAAATCCCCCAGAGCTTCAAACCCTTTGTCCCCTCAAAGTTACATCTCTCAGCTCATTGATTGGCTGAAGTCCAACAAGCTTCTGCTCCAGCACATTCCTCAACCTGATCACACAAACACACTTCTTGGTCTAAACTTCCTTAAGTAAATACATTGCATCACATAATATCCACAATTAGGAGCTTCAAAACTTAAATTCCTTTTTTTTTGCCCCTGCAGGCTAAGGGAGGATATTTAGTGGAGAAGGTGACAAGGAGGAAGTCGTGGTAACTCTTGATTTCTTCACTAACAGGGAGTCCTTGCTGAGGGGTATCCCCTATGCTGGAACACTCTGTCATCTTAACAGCTTTTGGGCTGAAACTCTGTAACATTACTGCAGTTTCTGTACAGTCTCTATAATTGTCCAGTTGGAATATTGCAGATGAGCTGCTGTTGGGCGTTTAGCCTCAGCTTTGGTTTTGCAGTAAGTCTTAGTCTCAATAGTACTGTTGTGCCCCTCGTAGAGTGTTGAGTGTAGAAATTGGCAAACAGTGCATGCTGTTCTATAGTGAAAGAAATATTGTTGGTCGTACAATTTAAATATATCAGAAAATCTGTCTGCTCTTCTCTACAACCTCTCCACATGACCAGGATATCATCAGTGTCTTACGTCCACAAAGCAATGTTGGACACAAATGCGTTTTGCGTTAGGAATGACAGGCATCGGATGGGCACTGTTCATAGCACAAGATTGCAAGTAATGGGAATCCAAATACTTAATTAATGGTGCAAATCAATTTTGACAGGGTTAGGAGGAATTCATTAGGGGGGAAGGATTGAATTGGATCAGAATTAGAAGTCGCAGGACTTGGATGGGACTGGCAACAACAAAAGTCCCGTATTAGAAATAATATGGGAAGCACACATCCCTGTCCTCTGTCCTCCATGTGGAGGTAGGCACGTGGATCTCCTGCTCGTGATCACTTTCTGTCATGTTATGTTGTGTCATGTTATACTCGTCCCAAAGACGCCTGTTGTGTCGTCCCTCCGGCAGCTCTTGGAGGCCAGTGCTGACAGCAGCCTGCAGAGACAGAAGAGACAGAGCCAGGACTTCCTGCAGCCCTACATCGCTGCCAAGCTGGATGCTCTTCCCGAGATCTTCACACTGGGTGACGAGAAGAAATACAACGGCTACTACAACAAACCCCTCCCCGGCCAGCAGCAGTATCGCTGCTTTGTTCTGGCCGACTTGACGGAGCATGAATCTGTGAGTAAGCGGTATCTATTTGAGCATGTACAGTACGGCACTTTTACTATATTTGAAAGCTTCAGTGGTCGAGTGAGTGCCGGGCTGGACCTTCACTGAATGTGTGCACAAGGGTACATTGTTCATTCACAAGACTCTCATCACAGTCGGTGTTAACCAGAGTAGGTGGATATATCAGAAGGGAGAAGACGTTGGTAAAATAACTTCAATGTTCAATTTGTGATTTTTGAACATTTCAGCCAACTCTGGTAAATGATGTGTTGACAAAGGCCGAAATGCTTCATAGCTCTATGAATACACACTGTGTATTGTTTCATTCTGCTTACAGTGTCAAACCTGCAAACCCTTTAGATTCTAGAATAAACAGCAAGTAGTGTAGCAACAATGTGACTTCTTCACAGCTCAAATGAAAAGCATGGTATCATCATCATCATTTCTTCCACAGCAACCAGATAAGTCATTTTGAAATAACATTAAATATATAGAAATACTTAAATATATAGAAATACCATTAAATATATAGAAATACCATTAAATCATATAGAAATACCATTAAATCATATAGAAATAACATTAAATACCCAAATGATTAACATAACATTGATACTAAACAACAAGTGCATAGTGTCAAAGGACCATTAACATTGTGATTACTTTTTTCTTCTTCTTATGGTCTAATTTGATATTAATCTGCTTCAAATATTTACTTCTCATTTATGCTCTTTTACTGGGCAGGTAAACCCTTCTAATGTTTGTCATTTCAATAAGCTCATGTGAGCCGATGTGTGCAGTACTTCTCCTTCACTACACCAGAATGCTTTACCTGACTAATGATGCAGACGCTACACAGCAGACCAGATATCGTTTTAGTGGACAAGAGCAGGGCAGTGAAATGAAGTGCAGCCAGCAGAGAACTACAGCAGCGGTGAGGGGAGAAGACCTCACCTGACTAATGATGCTGTCCTTTGTAACGGAATACGACCGTATGTTATGTAGCTGCCTCAGTCATTTTATAGAGCTACATGTGTTACTAGAATGATTACAATATTTGACACGACATAATCATATTTTTGTTCCATCACCATAGCGACATATCATCATGCGTGTTTTGTCCAGTCGTACGGCCCAGAAGGTGTTGACTGTCTGATTCTATGTGAATGCAACGTAAGATGTAGGACGTCAATGCTCACATTCAACAGCTCCATTGACCAGCCAAAAACACGGAGCTCACATTTAAAGTTAGCCACTAGGCTTTAAAGGCATTACTTAATGCAATTCCACTTTAATGGCAAGGTGTGTAGGATTTGGTGGCATCTAGTGGTAAGGTCGCAGATTGCACCTGAATACCCCTCTGCACAATCCTTTTTCCAAGAGTGAGGTAACTTGAACCACGAGTACAAAAGCGTGGTCATGCCATTCGCCTATCCCAAAGTACTTGCTCGCTATGTGGATATGAAGCACTCATTTTAAGCTCACGAAAACACTTTTCTTAATTCAGGTGATTATACAATCATGAAAACATAGTTATGAATATTATATTTCATTCCGCTAATAGATCCCCAGAAATGCTACACACTGTGCCTTTAAATGAAATGCAAGAAGAAGATGGCTAATGCTGCGTTCACACCAAACGCGTCGCAAATTCATCGCCCCGCATATTCACGTCCATCGTGCCACCGGTCAAAACGCCGGGGACCATTTGTGTCCATGTGTGAATCGCGCTGGACGCGCCGGAGAGGGGGCGGGGCTTATCGCCCTGAAAGCCGTTCAACTGTCCGCCATTAACCATGAAAAAAATACCTCTATTTCTGCTTAGTACGTGTTGTGGAAGTCACAGATATCCCGGGAAACTAAACGCCGTCATGTCTGGTTCATAACATTGTTCAGAGGAGCTCCGTGGATTTTATCGAGCTGTGTTCACTGTGTCTAGCAAGCCACAGGTCGCTGTTTACTACAGCTGTATGAACACTAAATAAACTGATCTGGCTGTGATTTAACTGCAATAAACCGACAAAAAGGGACTCCGAAATAACTACGTAATGATGCCGATTTGATAGTAGAGCTCTGGGTGAACACAGAGGGCTACAGGATTTATTTCCTGATTCAACAACGGCAGGACGTCGCTGATGACAGGAGGAGCAACTCAACGCTGATAGGCTATTGCGCAGGGGCGTAACACGAATATTTCGCAGAAGTTGAAAAATTTCAACTCGCGCGTTTGGGGCAATTTGGCGTTTGACGCGGATTCGCGTCCATCGCGCCGCAAATTTGCGTCCATCGCGCCGCGCCATCGCAAATTCGCGCCGCGCCAGTCTCATCGCATCTGTGCATAGACTTTGTATGTAATCTACTCGCGCGAATAATTCGCAATGCGTTTGGTGTGAACGCAGCCTTAGAAGGATATGGACAGTCTGGTCTGTTTTATAATGATCGTATCACACACAGTCGTGCATACAGTCAACCACAACATGTGAGATACGACTCCCATAATATTCAAATAATCTCACTACACTTTACAACGGATCTTTGACAGCGGCCATGTGGGGAATCAGAGCTGCTCAAACTGCAGACGGCTAACCAACAGAAGTCTGTGCGATTATCCCACAGCCAGATCATTGATCGTTTGAGGAATCGATCTTCTGTCAATCATGACAGCCTCAAATTGAACATCAAATGGCAGCCGATCCAGCAGAAATTCTGATTCTAAAGTTAGTCAGTGCCAATTACAATCTTGCTTAATTTGTACAGCATGTGCCCATCTTTACATCAACCTGTTAATCCTCATGTTGATAGGATACAGGGAGTAGACACATTGGATATCATGCAGCTTTGCAAGAAGTGCCACTTTTGTCAAAGTTGTATTTAACTATTGGGAAACTTGCAATTATGTGGTTCAGCTCTCTGGTCAGGCTGAAGTCTGTAGGTTGTTGTATTGGATTGCATTATATATGAAGGTGTTCTTGTTTTGTTTTTTTCCAGGCTATGTTTTGGCGCCCTAGATCAATGGGACCTTGGCAGAACCAAGCGTAATAATACAAATGGAATTCCAGAGGGGGTCTGACCGACCCAGCACCAATTGTTTCATGTCATGTACTCCTTTTGCATTCTTACAGCAGTGAAATACACTGGCCACAACTAGCTATTACCATGTGAGAGAGAGGCAGAGTTGAGTGTGTGACTGGATTAAGATGTACGTTGCAGTCTGCCTCGCCTGCAGCAGCGCCGTGTCAGGAAAAGTTCAACCAACACCAAGGCTTTTGCTTGACACCTCTCGCCCTTTAATAAATCATAAAACTACACCAGAGGACGAGGGGATGGCTGAGGCAACGTGGATGGGTTTTTAATATGCGGATCTATTGCGGATCATTCCTCGCCTTTTAAAATCGTCAGATGGATCGTTCTCATAAAACTCCATTCCCACCCTGTGGGTCACATTCTGGCACTTGCAACTGAAGTGTGTGTGTCCCATACATTTTCCCCAAGGCCTTGTATCGCTGAATAAACAAAGCAGAGTTTGACGTGAGTGGCATTGTTTTTCCTCCCTGGTTTTTGCTATCTGTGGAACAGAAGAGCAGCCCCTCAGGCAGCAGTGCATGCATGCCGGGCACGACGCAGTGATGCAAATCATGTCATTGAGTCATGCATGCATCTGCAGGTATATCTCTCAGGCAGTAAAGCCGTGAGCCCTGCTGTCATCCACAAGCACCTTGCTTTCAGAGCACAGCATCTTCAAAATAATTGCAATCACTGTTGTTCCTCATATGAGTCATTTTCCCTCGTGGCATCTTTATTCAAATAGGTTAAGATCTGAGGGGCGCGGTTTTGGTCAAGAAAAGCTTGGGTTGGGTATTGGTACCTTTTGCTCGCAGCCAATCACCAAAAGCATTCTTTAATTTAATGTAAATTGTGATTGGCCGACGACAGCAGCAGCTACAACCCATACAACTGGGATTGCCTGAACATGGAGATGTCTGAGTCAGCAGTTAGCAGCTAACAGTGCTAACATTGGCAACAGTTTAACCAACGGCAACAGTGGTGAACACAGTGTTTAGCTGGGGGGGTTACGTTACGCTTCCAACAACGTGTTACGCCACTGTGGGTCTGTGAACAGGGTTATCAGCGGTAACCGTCGTATGAGCGGCAGTGATTAACTAACCACTATGGCAATTCATTTCACATGATAGGTGCCGATTGAAGTACTTTATTGGTATCGGTATCAATTTAAGAGTACTGGTATTAGTACTGGCATCCTGATTTTTTTAAATGATACTCAGCCCGAAGAAAAGCACATGTGAATTCTTAATACCTTTTAAACAGTCGTAGCGTTTACAGCAGCTTTGCTCACTCATCACCAAGGGTAATACATTCAACAATAAGGCCACTCGCACAACCACACAACCTGGCATCAGCTACGCCCTGCAAAGGAATCCACAAAGCACACGCGCCTCTCTCTCAAACCCGGCACGCACACTCAAAGTCGCTGTACAACTTTTCAGCTTATGCAACATACCTTTCAACATACAATTCATCACAGCACTAGGCTACAGTCTGTAGTGCTGTTGTATAGGCTTGAGATAAAAACAGACTTGATGACTGGGTCTTTTATTTTTACATGATGTCGGGATACTCGGATTTGTAAAACAATGTCCAGGCCAGAGGGTGAAGGTAAATGTTTGGACTCAAGCTTTGAATAAACTGACCGACTTGGAAGCATCACAATTTATCTGATCTGTAGGAATCCAGATTCTTAAGTTAGTCAGGGACGACCAATTTAGTGTTCAAATCTTGTTTGATTCCAACAGCATCGTCCCATCTTTACAACTACCTGTTTATTCACATGTTGATAAGATAACAATCACAAGGACCCCTGTTTGATAACATGAAGCACTGCAGTGACTGCAATCTTGTGAAAGTTGTCCTTAATGATTGTGAAACAATTTTGCAATTTTGTGGTTCAGCTCTCTGGTCAGGCCACAGTCTGTAGTGTATTGGATTGCATT